CTATCCCCAGAACTTACAACAATGGTGGGTATCCGTGTGTTGGCAAAAAGCATATCTCTTTAGTGGCAAGAAAGCAGAGAGTGATGGCCAGCACAGAGGGCTCTGGTTAGGCAGCCCTCCTTCTAGAGGTGATATTGTTTCCAGGGGATAAGCAAAAGCCAAGGCAGTGGGGGCAAAGGTGCTTGCTGCCAAGCCTGACGTCCTGACTTTTACCCCTGGGACCCGCATAGTAAAAGGAGAGGAGGAACCTCTGCAAGCTGACTTCTGACTTCCTCAACAAGCATTGTAGGTACACACACAGTCGTGCACATTAAATAAATTAATTAAATGTAATTTTAAAGAAGAGAGGGAGTCAGAGGGTGGTGACCCACACCTTTGATTCCTGCACTCAGGAGAAAGAGAGGCAGACCTCTGAGTTCGAGGCCAGCCTGGTCTACAAAGAGAGTTTCAGGACAGCCATGGCAGTTACAAAGAGAAACTCTGTCTTGAAAAAAACAAAACAGGGATTCAGGTAGTGAGATGGCTGAGTGGGTAAAGGTGCTCAGTGCCAAAATTGACAGCTTGAGTTCAATCCCCAGGACCCATATTGTGGGCGGAATGGAAGGATTAAAAAAAAAAAAAAAAGGTAAAACAGAAAAGAACACCAAGTCAATGGCAATACACACTCATAAACCCAGCACTTAGGAGACTGGGGCAGGAGAATCACACATTCTAGCAAAACTCTGTCTTAAAAGAAAGAAAGAAAGAAAGAAGAAAGGAAGGAAGGAAGGAAGGAAGAAAGAAAGAAAGAAAGAAAGAAAGAAAGAAAGAAAGAAAGAAAGGAGGCTAAAAAGATGTTTGGGAGTTTGGAGCACATTTAAGAACTCAAGCTGGTCTCTAACCTGTGACCATTTTCCACAGCCTCCAGTGTACTGAACTTACAAGCTTGCACCTACCTTGCCCAGCTTTCACCCTCCATTTGCAACCCCATCCTATGGAGGCTGGGTGACAGGCAGGCCTGTAGACACTCAGCAGAATTTCGGCCAAGTCAGACATGATAGCACACACCTGGAATCCCAACACTCAGGCGACTTTGGCAAGAAGATCTCCAGCTCAACGCCAGCCTCAGCTACTAAGAACAAAAAACTGGGGCCGGGCGTTGGTGGCGCACGCCTTTAATCCCAGCACTCGGGAGGCAGAGGCAGGCGGATCTCTGTGAGTTCGAGACCAGCCTGGTCTACAAGAGCTAGTTCCAGGACAGCCTCAAAAGCCACAGGAAAACCCTGTCTCGAAAAACCAAAAAAAAAAAAAAAAAAAAGAAAGAAAGAAAGAAAGAAAGAAAGAAAGAAAGAAACTGGCAATTTGGAGCAGAAGATAATAAGAGATGGAGGCCTTGGATCCTAAATGGTGGCCATTTATTCCATATATAGTGTGTGTGTGTGCATGCATGTGTGCGTGCACATGTGTCGTGGTGAACACGTGGAGGTCAGAGGGCAAGATGAGCTGTCTTGTGAGCCTCAGAGATCGAGGTCATCGGTCATCTGGTTTAGCGGCAAGCACCTTTAGCTACTGAGGCATCTTGCATGCTCCCAGCTGGTCCCTTCTTGTGCTTAGCCTGGCATCCCAGGCTTTCTAACAGAATCCAGGACTATTTCCCTGGGGATCTGAGACAGGTTGAGAAGAGAGAATTTAACCTGACTTGAATTTGGTCATGATGGAGAGACGGCTCACTGGGAGCTGCCCTGGGTTCAGCTGGAGAGGAGTGGGCACACTCGCATGTTGTCCTGTGAGGGTCCAGTCTTGGTGAGGGCACTAGAAGCTGGCTGGGAGGCACTGCCAAAAGTTTTGTATATTCACTTTTTGCATTTGAAGTACTCTTCAATGACATCCTTGGCCTGAAATTCTTTGCCATAGTCCTTAACCACGACACAACTGCAAGCAACCACTTTCCATGTCTTCCCCTCTCAGTCAGTTTTACAGAGCCTACCCATTCCCCTAGTTTCCTGTCATCAAACTTACTTAGGTCAAGCTGGTGCTCAGCACAAAGTGTCTCCACCAGCTTGATATATTACATAGGCCCAGCACAGTTGGATGTAAGCACACAGGATGGACTTGGCTTTTGTCTAAGGCTTTGCCAGCTTCATGTATGCCAAGTGATAGGTCATTGTGGATGAGCAATTGTGGCGGTCTTCAGCAATTCTTATAAAACAGTACTCATGTTTATTACACCTCCAGCTCTAATTACGGATTACAGGAGAGGCCAAATCATGAACACACCCGGGTCTCCTCCTCCTCAAAACTCCTTGGCAGCTGGGAAAAAGCTGTTGTTACTCATTTATTAAGATGTGGTAAGGCTGAATAATATTCCAGCCTTAGCTCTTCAAGTTTTGAGATTACAGGGGTGCACCTTTGTGTCCAATAAAGCCCCCTTTCTTTTTAAAAGTTGATTTACCTATTTTGTATGTGTGTGGCTGTATGCACATACAATTGAACTCAGGCTGTCAGGCTTGGTGGCAAGTCCCCTCACCTACCGAGTAATCTTTCTTAAACCAATAATACTGTCACTGAAAGAATCTAATATAGCCAGGCAGTGGTGGCACATGCCTTTAATCCCAGCACTCAGGAGGCAAAGGCAGATGAATCTCTGTGAACTTGAGGCCAGCCTGGTCTATAGCGTGAGTTCCAGGACAGCCAAGGCTTCACAGAGAAACCCTGTCTTGAAAAACAAATTCTTTATTGATTTTTTTTTTTGTGTGTGTGTGTGTGTGTATGTGTGTCCGCAGGAGTTTCGCTTGCATGTATGTATGTGCAACATCATTGTTGCTCAGGATACCAGAAGAGGGTGTCAGAACCCCTGGACATGGAGTTATAGCTGGTTGTGAAACTCCATATGAATGCTGAGAATTGATTCATAGTCTTTACAAAAACAAGAAAGGCTCTTAACCCCTAAGCCACCTTCCCAGCTCCAGAGGCACTGTATTTTTCATAGTAAAATGAAATTTCATTTTAGCAAATAAACATTTAAATTGAAGTATCCCTGTGGATTAGAAATAAATTGGATGCAGCCAGTGGTGGTGGCACACACCTTTATTTTTTTCATTAATTTATTTTTTACATTCCAATCCTAGTTCCCCCTCCTGTTCCCCCCTCTTCCACCCATCTACTACTCAGAGAGGGTAAGGCCTCCCCTAGGAAGTCTACTAAGTCTGTCCCATCATCTCATTGAGGCAGGACCAAGGCACCTCTCCACCCCCACACCCCTGTGTCTAGGCTGAGCAGGATATGTCTCCATATAGAATGGGCTCCCCTAAATCAGTTTGTGCATTAGAGTTAGATCTGGGACCCACTGCCAGTCACACCATTGTCACCTATATTAAGGGAGTCTAGTTTGGTCTTATGCAGGTTCCCCATTTGTCAGACCTGAGTCAGTGATCTCTCACTAACTCAGGTCAGCGGATTCTGTGGGTTTCCTCATCATGGTCTTGACTCCTTTGTTCATATTATCGCTCCTCCTTCACTTCAATTGTATTCCAGGAGCTTGGCCCAATGGTTAGTTGTGGATTTCTGCATCTGCTTCTGGAAGAGGGTTCAAATTTCCCTGGGGTTGTGGATTATAGGCTGGGGATCTTTTACTTTATGTCTGGTATCCACTTATGATTGAGTACATACTATATTTGTCTTCCAGGGTCTGTGTTACCTCACTCAGGATGTTTTTTTTTTTCTAGTTCTGTTCATTTGCCTGTGAATTTTAGGATGTCATTGTTTTTTTCCGCTGACTAGTATTCCATTGTGTAAATATACCACATTTTCTTTATCCATTCTTCAGTTGAGGGGCATCTAGGTTGTTTCCAAGTTCTGGCTATTATGAATATTGCTGCTATGAACATAGTTGAGCAAATGTCCTTATAGTGTGATTGTGCATCCTTTGGGTATATGCCCAAAAGTGGTATTGCAGAGTCCCTAATTTTCTGAGAAGTTGCCATACTGATTTCCACAGCAGCTGTACAAGTTTGCATTCCCACCAGCAATGGGACAGTGTTCCCCTTTCTCCACATCCTCTCCAGCATAAGCTGTCATTGGTGTTTTTGATCTTAGCCATTGTGATTGGTGTAAGATGGAATCTCAGAGTGGTTTTGATTTGCATTTCACTGATGACTAAGGATCTTGAGCCTTTCCTTAAGTGTCTTTCTGCCATTTGAGATTGTTCTGTTGAGAATTCTCTGTTTAGATCTGTATCCCATTCTTTAATTGGATTAATTGGTAGTTTGATTTCTAGTTTCTAGAGTTCTTTGTATATTTTGGAGATCAGCTCTCTGTCAGATGTGGGATTGCTGAAGATCTTTTCCCATTCTGTACGGAGCCATTTTTGTCTTGTTGACCATGTTCTTTGCTTTACAGGAGTTTCTCAGTTTCAGGAGGTCCCATTTATTAATTCTTCCTCTCAGTGTCTGTGCTACTGGTATTCTATTTAGGAAGTGGTCTCCTGGCACACACCTTTAATCTCAGCACTCTGGAGGCAGAGGCAGGTGGAGTGATCTCTGAGTTCAAGGCCAGCCCGGTCTACAAAGTGAGTTCCAGGACAGCCAAGGCTACACAGAGAAATCCTGTCTCAAAAAATGAAAAGAAATATATTGCATGCTATATTGGGGAAGACTTAAGAGGCAGACTGGAGGTGGAAACAAGACAAAAAGGTTAGAATCTGTGGTTTGTGTAGCCATTGGAGCAGGAACACTTTGGAAAGGAGAGGTAAGAGAGTCCCAGCAACTTAGTCTACAAAGCAGAGGCATATCTAACTACCGGTCAACGTGGTTGCTCACACATGCAAACACCCACGCTATGTGTGAGTCACCCACAGGACACCCACAGATGCTTTTGTGTGCAACACAGGAGTCATTAGCTTTGAGTGAGCTGGGAATCCATCCTGTGCACACACACACATTGCACAGATTCTCAGGTACATAAGGATAGGGGATATGTGTTCCCACATATCTTATACCTGTTGGGCTGGTGAGCAGGGGCTA